CCCGCCGATGCCCCCCCCCCCGCCCTCTGAACCGGCGTTGCGGAACCCCGTTGTTGTTGTTGTTGTTGTTGTTGTGGAATTGCTTGACCGGCCAGAGCATTGGACAGCAAGCTCGAGAAGGACAAGTTGGCTGTCGATTCTTGGACGGCTTTTTGTTGGTCCTTAATTTCCTGTTGAACGGATAAGGGCGGTGGTAGGGCAGGACGGCTAGTGGGCGAACGGTTATCGAAACACGTTCTTATCTAGCTTCAGCTCCAGAGAACAGCACACGATTGTCAGCAAAGGGAAACGCGCAACGTCGGCTACACAACGAAGGCTAAGCTTCTACTGAAGATAACGCTGCTCCCCACACACACAGCACCAGCCATACACTAACTCACACAAAATCTACTAAACACGTGCCACACCCGGGAACACTACCACAAGGAAATCAACCGTTCCCATCTTGAACCCGGCGCAGATGTGTAAGCGTGTCGTAAACATGAAAAGGGCGGTTTGACCTTTGGAGGCATGGCACAAGTTGCATGTCACGGATGTGTGGGAGCCTCCGTCAAGCTTGGCTACAGCACCAGTCCAACGTCATTGAGATGCTTGACGGAAATTCACCTCCAGCTGCTCTGGATCAAGATTTGCCATCATCTTGGGGAGGAAGAACATCATCGCCATGGAAATGACCATGATGATTGTCATCGGGCTCTTGAACATTCCGCCAACCTTCATCCCCTCCCGCTTTTCGAAGTGGTTCCTGCGCGCCAGCGCCAGCAAGCACGAACGCACCGTAGGCGTCAAAATCAGCCACAATGTGCAAACTCGGCGTCGACATGGACGTTCAAGACAAACCAGTATGCCAAACGTGATCGCCATCAGAAGCATCAAACATGCCATGCGACTCTCGAGGGAAACTGATTGTGGACACAACATCGCAGGAAAACTGTTCGGTTGCCTTCCCGCTCAATCATCGCAACACCAAGAATCCCCATGGGGTTACTTCGACACGTCGAGACACAACGACACAAAAGCCAAGGCCACATGCATACGGACTTACCCCTGCTGGAATAGCAGCAAGAGCTTACCACTTGGTTTGCGCCGTGAGGAGGAGCGGGTGTATTGCCTCCTTCCGCGGCGCTCCGGGGTACTGCCTCGGTCGAAGCCACCCAGTCGCACCGGCAACAGAGGAATGGCGTGGAGAGGAAGGTAAAGGCCGAACGAGACACGCGCGAACGCGTCGAGAGGAGGTAGGTAGAGGTAGAAAGAGACGCGTGCCAACAGGCGAGAGGAGAGGGTCAGCCCGTCGTCTACACTTAAGAAACAGGGAGTCATTTTGTGAATCAGTCCGACAAATGCATTGCTTCCCATCCCGGCGCCGATGGCGAAACTCCGAGGCGGAAGTTTGAGCAATTGCGGTACCATACCGCAACCTGTCTTCCACGCGACCTTCGGAAAGCTGTTCCACTTTTCAAGACCTGTGCCATGGGAATCTGTACTCATAATCATGAAAACACACAAAATTTCGCTGCACCTTGTACTCAATGGCGGATGCCCGTCATGTCGTCCACCTTGATCTTCATAGCGCTGAAGTGGAAGTTGGGGGACAGCACCTCCAGCAGGTAGACCCCGGCGGCAACGTCGCGGAAGGCGAAGGATCCGTCCCGGGCGGTCAAGCTGCTGTGCTGACCGCCGTTCAAAACCACCTGTTTGGTTGGAGTTGGATTCACCCGGTGGCAACTTGTCGGTGCAGGTATGCTTCGTGTCCCACCACCGAAACCAACATGTACTGCTTGTCAGCGGCACCGCTTCGTGGGCACATCTTGAGTAGCTTTCCGGGTTCGAGCGAGGGCGTACCGATCATTTTGATATGTATCCTGTTCCTGTACCGTGGAACCGCTTGAATCCAACGGAGGTCGCGGAAACCTGGGCAGCCAAATCCAAGACTTGAATGTATAGCAGACACATGAAGATGTTGGAC